CTTCATAGAAACATTCTCCAAGATGGAGACCTGGGTATTGAGTGAACAAGACCAAGCTCTCTAAAACACCAGTGCTCCACAAAGCTGCAACATTCCCAATCATAAATGGGTGATAATGGTGCAGTGGCTTGCAGTGCTGAGTCTGCACCATTAGTTTTGTGGGTTTGGGTTCTACTTGCAAGTGTGAAAATTCCCATTTCTACAGATAAAGTCCAGCAGATAAAGTGAGAGTAGTTTTGATTCTCCTAATTTCCTGGCACTACGAAAAATTTACTTTGCATTAACTGATATTCATTCTAAATGCTCTAGCACCGAAAACAGTACAATCAAGAGGAAATCAAAACTGTCAATTAAAAATAAATGTTCTAGTATGGATGGCTATAGCTAGAACTTGGCAATGTGACCCGAGTAGATTAAATGGCTCACAAATCAAAAGGCACACCAGAAGAATCAAGCATTAAAAGAAATTCTAATGTTTCGAAACAAATACAATGATTTTTAGACATCTGCTATGGCAATACTGAAAGCCATGGATCACTGTACTTCCTGAGTTATGATAGTAAAGAACTCAGCAGTCTGGACAAAATTTTCTGCCAGATTTTCTGTTAACAGGAATTCTTTGCTCTTTGACTGTTTAGTTTTTGCCACACAATATAACTGAAGCGGTAACAACGAAAACACTGTTCTTGATCATAATGCGGCTTGATGAATCCACAGTGGTAGACTGACAAAAGTAGGAAGATTTTCCCCATAACTGGATTGTTTTGCTCTAGGGAAATACATTGATATAGTAATATCCTGGTTTATTTAACACTGAATATAACTATTGCATTAAGCAAAACATTTAGTTCAAAACCAGTCTAAAATGCATTGCCTCCACATTAAAGAGCAAGAAATGATCTTGCAGATCCTCTACAGTTAATATGGAAGATGTTTCATGACAGTTTTGCACTGCTTTGCAGCTTGTGGCTTCTAAAATTACTGTGACTATGGAAATGTACACCTCTCTGCTGCTATCATACCTAACCTTTTTCCTATTTGCTAATTTATTTTCTTCTGCATTTTATTTGGTAACAGAAGTTTTCACGAGGGAGGGCAGTCACTGTGTGTTTGTAGAGTGCCAGGTGCAATGGGCTTCTAAAATCTATTTAGGATCCTTATGAGCTAGTGCAATAGAAAAAATAAACATCTTATTTTAACAAACAATAGAAAACAGTGTCTTTGAGAACAAGCCAAAGAATAGACGCCTTGTGGTATGAAAGTACTTCCAGCAGGGTGGAAAACAAAAGATTTTCTGTATCTAACCTCTTCTGGGTATTACATTTTCCTGTAATTTTTCAGTGCAATCTGACCACTAACAACTTGTCATCTTATTTACCTTAAGATGGTTTAAAATAATTGTCAAATGTATTTTTTCTGTCTCACATTTTTAATGGAAAGTGGCATTTCAAAAGCATGGTGTGAACCCCATTTTCTACAACATGATGCCGTAACATGAAACTAGTAACAATAATCCCAGCAACACAATCGTTTTAGGTCAGTCACACTGTACTTTCTTTTAGAGGGGGTTATTTTTAAATTATAACAACCTGAACAGAACCAGTAAATAATTTTAGTACCTATGAATGAGCTCAGCAAGTCTGCAAAAGACCTGAAATTGCCACTGAAATTCTGTAACTACTGTGGAAGCCTTCCACTGGTGCATATGCTCCTTCATGATAAAGGCCACAACTTTGTTTTTAACCCTTGCAACTTGAACTGAAGCTGCAGTCAAGAGAGAAACTCCAAGTAATCCCATTAGGGTGTTTCTGCACAACTGATCTCAGGACCTAAATCTGAGCTGCTTCAAATGCCCAGCGTATTTTTCCCTGGCATCTATCTGATCTGTGGAAAACATGCTTAATGTTTTATTGGCTTCAAAATTAGCAGGCTCTGCCTCTAAGGTAAAGACAAAATGGAACGATAAAATAATTCAGATGACAGATTCCTGCCATTCACTGGCAGGTTGATTTTTGGGTTTTGGGTTTGTTTTTAGTGGGGTTTTTGGAGGTGTTTTTTGTTGTTTTTTTTTTTGTCAACTTCTGTCACCCTGAAGGAAGGAAAGAAAAGAGATTTAAAACTTCTTTAATAGATTCTTGGGCCAACATCCAGCATCAAAATGCAGCTGTTCAAAGTCCAAGTTGAGGAGTCATGAAAGTTTTATTATTGCTATTTATGGTAGTGCTTTCCATATTTCAGCTGCTTTCTACATATTTAAGAACTGTCCTGACCATGGTGCTCATAACCCTTTGCTTTTACACAAATACCAGAAAAATCAGTCCTATGACTCTTATTACCGTAAGAGTTATGGCTACATGAAGTACCTGAAGACTTCTGTACGTGCATCTCATCAACAAAAAGCTTGTACTTTAACTATGGCAGAACAGTATTTGTATACAAAGACTGAGTGGACTTGAGGTTTCGAAATGAAAAAGCTCAGCCTTGGTGACAATTAAGTATGAAATGCATCTTTAAAACAATATTCTGATATTTGTTATGTACTGAGAAAAAATTTCAAACTGACATCTTTTTTGCTTTAGTGCTAAAATAGCCGGGATGCCTCATCCGGTCATGAAACTGATCCATCCCATGCCATTTTCACACCCGCTCCTCCTAAGACACAGCCCATATTTCTTCAAATTTCTCCAGATTTTTAAGTCAAAAAATTACCATACAATTTTCTCGTAAAGCCCTTTTGGAACTGGACAAAGTAACAAATTTTATTTGAAATCTCACTCTTAATTCATAACTATTTTAAAATCGAATAGTATATATTAAGATAAATGCTTTATACTTCACAAACTCAAAACTCCAGTGTTTCAGGTAAGAGTAGGACCATGACATTTTATCCCAACATTCCACGTTATGTAAACATTAAAACCTAGGCCAATTTCTTTTCTTCTTGACACCAACTGCAAAGTTCCCAACATTTTTATTGACTACAAAATCAGTTCCATTTTCATTTTTCTTTGAAATGAGGCCCCTTCACAACATATTCTCTTTCCTGTTAGCTCTGCTAATGCTCACACACATCTTACTTGTCTCACATGCCTAGGGTCTAACTGTGATAAACTGACTGATCTCAGAACATGACTGAACCCTCATCTCTAGAGAGATACTGATACTGATATTGTTTATCAACCTTCTTCCACTCAATTCTTCACAGGACAACACCAGAACACCTTACCGAATCTGCTGTTATTACTTAACTAGAACAGGCTACTGATGGCTGAAGCCATGTCTAATGCATAAAGCTATTTACAATTGCACCCATTATTTATCCTGAGTGAGGAATTACTTTCTGCAAATGCTTCAATGTCTTCGTTTTCTTACATCTACCTAACAACATCCTCAATTATCTGTGGCTTTTTAATAGCTGCTTAGCTTTCTGGAAACATCTTAACATTCAATTTCACTGTGGTAACAGTCATTAAACACAGAATTTTAAATAAAAATGGAAAAAAAACCCTTAAAATCCAATAATTGTTCAAAGTGCTGAGAGGAATGGAACTTCCTTAATCCACTGTGACAAGAAATAATGCAGAAATACTCCACCAAAATGGCTCCTGATGCTACCAGTGAATTTTAGGATTACTAAAACTGGACAATATATACACAAACATACATGCCCATATATATGAACACATGGACTTACATGTGGGTACAATTTACTGCAGCTACAATTCTGTTGCAATATGCAATTTCTCAGTTTATAGAGTGTAATTACTCATAAGAACACTATTATGGCACCTTCCATGTTAATTTCCCGGTCAGATTAAGACCTGTGTGTTGTAGGGTAAAACTGAAAAAAACTTTTATAGAAATACAGAAAATTCGTATTTTCAAAGAAAATGAGCTATCGGTTCTGATCACACTATATTAATAATTACATTCTATTAATGATTACATTCTATTAATTTTGATACATAGAAATAAGCTGTACCATCCATGCAGTATCCAGGCTACCTGTAAAATGGCCTAGCAATTAGAATAAAAATGACAATAGAAAAAACTCCACTCTAAGTATGGAGGCCAATTCAATTCTACCCTGATCTGCAAATCTCTGAACCTGCATTCCAATCTTACTTCCACGCCATCTGAAAACATACAATCAACGCTCAAACGCTTTTTCCTGGAGTCTGCAAATAACAGTTCTACCCATCTGAAAGGGAGTCACGAGTTACCCCAGGACAAACTGCACTTTAACCCACGATAATGTCTGACAACAAGGTGTTTTTATTGTCTAGAACCTCCATCGCGGTGGTAATGCGCTCACCCGGCGTCACCCCAACCATGCCGTCCCAAACCAGCAAAGCCCGCAGCTACAGCGGGGCCTTGCTCTGGGGAAGAGAGGCAACATAACCCTCCCGGGCAGCTGCAAATGAACGTTTTCTGTACAGTGCACATGCGCAGAAACACCTCTGCGCCCGACCCGAGCAGGCAGAGCCCTTAGCCCGCGGAACCGCACAGGTAACGCACAGCGCCCACCCCATTCACAATATCCGCCCGCCGCGGCTACACGGACAGCACGGCGGCCGCGTTCCTAGCAGCATACTCGCGGCCATGCCTCCCCGGGACAAGGTGCCAATCACGGCGCCGAGCAGCCGGATACGCCCGTATGGAGACACGCCGGGGCAGAGGAAAGATACTTCCTTTTCCGGGTCAGCTCCCACTGCACAGAGTAAGGAGGCGCGGTAGTGCTGCTCCGAGTTTCCCTTTTCGTAAGAGAACAGGGAAGGAAGCCTGTGCGCGGCCGGATGGCGCCTCTGCTCTGGTCCCGGCCCGCTCGGCTTCTCCTCTGGACCTTGCACCACCCCGCTTGCCCCTACGCTAAGGGCCTCTGCGCCTGTGTGAGCACTATCGTGCCATCCCTCTCGTGCTGTCACTAAGAGCATGCGCACTGCGGAGCCCGTCTTCGGGGGGCAGAGGCAGGAGTAGCCAATGTGGGGTGGAACTTGCATGCTACACTGCTACGCCTGGCCGGGATCGGGGCCGTTATGGGGCGGAACCGGGATTCGGCTTCCTGCGAGGGGCTCTGACCCAGGCGGAGTGGCTTGTGCTTCATGCGCTGTCCCCGGCCTATCAGCAGCTGCCAGTGGCGTGTGCACTTGGAGGCTCGCCTTTTCACGCCGTCTAGTCCTGCTGCTCCACGGCTTTGCCGCCATCAGTCCCTGTCGTGAGGCCGCTAAGAGCTAAAGTGCGCTTGGCGGCCGCTCCTCGGACAGGCTGCTGCGTGTTGGGCTTCAGCGTTATATGGCAGGCCCTGCTACCCCAGGGTGGGCGCTCGGTGCTGGAGCTTGTTGGCCCCGGGGTCTGTAATGGCGAGGTCAGGGGTGTCAGGTGCAGGTAGAGGAAGGTGAAACATTTGGACCTGTCATCCTCAAAGTAAAAAGAATTTTTATTCTTAATTAGTTAATGTTACTGTTTACGCTTGGGATTCTTCTCTTTAGAAAGGCAGGTGATAAAAAATAACTCTTTTTTGATGATACTTTAAATATATTATTTCTGTGATGCCATGAATTCAAGCAGATTATCCTTAATGGTCCTTTTTTACAGTAATGAAAGATGGACACTGGACAATTGTGAGAGGGTTTTTTTTTTTACCTGGTGTTTTGGCAAAGCTACAGAACGAGAGTTGCCTAAATTGCATGAACACGTGCAAAGCACTGCATACAGTAGTCAAAATACTGATGTTTAAAATTGAGCACTTGCATAATGATTTATAAATCATGTATTTGTAAACTTTGTAGTGTTTTTAGTGTTAAGTATATTAGAATTTATTGCATATGCTAGAACCATCTCTTAAATGTCTCTTTAGGCGGAAGTGGGAAAAGTTACCATATGGCAGCTCCAGGAAAGGCGGCAGCTTTCCGTCTGCCTCCCCTGCCAACTATTGGAGAGATTATTAAACTCTATCGCCTTAAAGCACAGAAACAACTTTCCCAGAATTTTCTACTGGATTTGCGACTGACAGGTTAAATATTTTGTTATTTTTTTTAATCCTCTATAAAACACGTATCCTGCTTCAAAATCCTGATTCTAGCTGAGGAGATGGTGTTTGTATGATGAAATCTGTCAAGTTAATAGCAACTTAGTGGTAAACCTTTAAAGACTTATTTTAGTTTTAGCTTAGACAAACTTTACTTGTAAATGCCTAGAAAATGTGTTTCTGTATAAATAACTTTTAGGTAGAAACTATATTCCTATATGAAATATGGATTATTGACTGAAATGCAAAAGTCCAAGCCTTAATAGTATTTTTACCATTCAGGTGCTATTAATAGTTTACAAGTTTGATTTAAAAAAATACTATTTTTTTTTGCTTATTATGTATCATAGAAAGTACTGCAATTCATTGCGCAATTTTAGTTAATGTATAGCCTGGCTAGGAAGGTAATTTGTCTTAGTTTATCAGAAATGTAGCTTTTTTGAACCAGCTTTATTGTTCTGAACAGTTTAGGTTTCTGTATTTTTATGTCTACACTGATGGCAAAACTGGCACTGTTCAGTCAGCGGTGGGTTTCTTTACTGTTCTAGCGGTGGCTGGGTTTTGCAGTAAGAAATGCAGTGCAGCTCTGTAGCTGATGGTTTGAATACATTTGAAGATTCAGGTTGATAAAGATTTAGAGTGCAAACATGAAACATAGCTCCACTTCCTGAACAACTGGACTCTTACCTTGGAATTAAAATGTCTGCATGCATTTAGTAAAACCTTATGAGTAGGCAGGTCTTCAGGTATTTCTTATTGCATATTTAAGAAGTTACGGAATGAGCAGTGAAGTTTCTCTCAGCATCTTCTCTCCATGCTTCCTAAGGATCCCTTTATTTCATTTGCTACATTTTTAATGTTTATTTTAAAACCTTAATCTGTTTTCTTTCCTGGCTGTAATGCCTTCCAGTATTGTATCTTTCCAGTAATGTATAGGTATTCTTTCTTCACCTTTCATCTGACCCACCTTCTGTGACTACCAATTGCCTGTATTCCAGCTGTTAGTTTACTCCAGCTCCTCCCTCATAACAATTGCTGGGTTCATATTGAAATCTTATTATCTTTTTAAATTTCCTTGAAACATAGGCTCTAAGGAAATGTAGTGAAATACTGTGGCGAGACTTTAGAATGTTGAACACAGCTGCTTACTTGCAGGAGAATAGTCCTGATGGTTTACAGATGAGAAGTAATATTTTGTTTTCATTTGATTCTGTAATGAGCAACAATTATATTACATTAAGCTGAAAATACTATTTTAAAAGTAGCTGATGGTGTCTTGCAGTATGAAACAAATCTGATTTCTGTGCAGTGTAGCAGGTGTGTGATTAACTGGGATGTGTCACTGTTTATGTCTGTTCTGAGGTAAGCACACTTGTGGTTTAACAATAAACAATGAGTTTGTTAAGTGAGCTGGATCTTCTGCAGAATAAAAGCTTTGTATGTTCTTTGTGTCTTGCAGACAAGATAGTGAGACACGCTGGCAATCTGAAAAATGCCCATGTTTGTGAAGTGGGCCCCGGGCCAGGAGGGATTACCAGATCCATTCTCAGTGCTGGTGTTGAACAACTCCTTTTAATTGAAAAAGATGCTCGATTTATTCCGGGATTACAGGTACCAGCTGGAGAATAATTTGTATAAATGTATCCACACTATTGAATAAGAAGACTTTAAGAACATAGAAAGGTGCCAAGTGTCTTGCTGAGATCTCAGCGTTGAAAATAGGTTTGCTTCTTTGGCTTAAATCAGAGCTATTGTTTGCTTGAAGATAAAAATGCACAGTATAACAAGCAGATAATTGCTCCTGCTTTCTCCTAGGCCCCTCGGGACCTGACACTGCAAATGAATTAGTGCTGAGTCTTTTTTTTTTTTTCTTCTGATTGAGATGTTTCAGTTGCATTTCACCATTCAGATGAACTAGTAGTTTGAGGGCTCAACATAATGTCTTTTGGTCTTATTTTGAATTTTAAACCTAATAATTATGCTTTATAAAATTGTGAAATCATATTTCCACTCCAGTTCATGTTCAGTATGGGTAATATCATAGAATCATGGAATAGTTAGGGTTGGAAAGGACCTTATCATCTAGTTCCAACCCCCCTGCCATGGGCAGAGACACCTCACACTAAACCACGTCACTCAAGGCTCTGTCCAGCCTGGCCTTGAACACCGCCAGGGATGGAGCATTCAGAGATGGAACTTCCCTGGGCAACCCATTCCAGTGCCTCACCACTCTCACAGTTAAGAACTTCCTCCTTATAGCCAATCTAAACTTCCCCTGTTCAAGTTTTAACCTGTTACCCCTTGTCCTGTCACTACAGTCCCTAATGAAGAGGCCCTCCCCAGCATCCTATAGGCCCCCTTCAGATACTGGAAGGCTGCTATGAGGTCTCCACGTAGCCTTCTCTTCTCCAGGCTGAACAGCCCCAGCTTTCTTAGCCTGTCTTCACACGGGAGGTGCTCTAGTCCCCTGATCATCCTCATGGCCCTCCTCGTGGCTTGTTCCAATAGTTCCATGTCCTTTTTATGTTGAGGACACCAGAACTATACACAGTACTCCAAGTGAGGTCTCATGAGAGCAGAGTAGAGGGGCAGGATCACCTCCTTCGACCTGCTAGTCACACTTCTTTTTATATCCAAATACAGAAGAATAAACCAGTGTTTATTTTACATTAAAAAATAAAAATGCCCTTAAACTTTGTTTCCTTTCTTTTAAAGTTGGTATAATTTCACAAGTTGTTGTGGCATTTTTCAAATGCCATTTACTTGTGTTGCTATTAAATTTCCTTGTTCATGGAATTTAGATATATAAATCTATGAAGAAAAACAGTTAAAAAATCTCAGTTTAAATAAGATTTAACTGTTTTCTTGAGCTTCTACAATCTCAAAGGTCTTTCCTTGTATTGTACTGTGTCTTCTGTAGCAAATCAGTGAAAATAAATAGGCAGTTCAGTTGAGAACTGCTACCATCTCTTTGTCGGACAAAACCAATCTAAGATAAGAATGAAAATGCTCATATACTTAAACCTGAATATGCATGTAACTGTGTCGTTGTAGGCTTAGCCATTAATAATTTATAGTATGCCATCCTTACTTTATGAAGTATGAAGACTTCATGTTTTCTCTTGAGTGGGGCAAATCTGTATTTCTGTTTCAGATTTTAAGAACTGTTTTGGATTTGGAGAGAATTTGAGATTCAGTGGTACTTGGTAACAGGTTTTTAAGTATTTACACGATTTTTCTCATCTTCCAAAATGCAGCCGTTACAACAGATCTGTCTGAATAAAAGTATACTTTCAGGGTCTGTAATAAGGTTTTGGTATATAATTATCTTTACTGTTCAAGTGAGTTAACATTAGTCATTATTTTTAATTAGCAACCTCTTTAAAGTAGAAATAAATATGCCTGAAGTTATTGACTATAAAGATGTTATAATTTGGTAGCAGTGGATGTGAATGAAAACTATATCTGTTGCATCCATTATTGTTAAATTTGGGGTTTCCCTCCAAATAAGATGATGCATAACAGAATGAATCTTTCTTTTGTGATAATGCAGGTTGTAATACCTATTTTTTCTAGTTTCCTGTTAAAAACATCAAAACCAGATGCTCATAAATGGGTTGAGGTTTAAATAACAAAATAGCAGAGATTAAAATAACAACTGGGGACTCTTACTTAAAAATGTTTGTTTAGATACTTACAAAATCACAAATTGAACGTGTACAGTGTTTTTTATTAACTTTTTCAGGCTGTGGTCTCTATCAAAAAACTGAAGTTGTCATCCTCTTTACTTCAAAACTGAAATATAGTGAAAAACATACATGTACAGAGTAAAAGTTTACACAAGCTGGGAGTCTGTCAGTTCTGTCTCACTCTTAAAGAATCACAAACTCCCTGTGCCATATGCCCTGACAGTTATTAGGCTGGAAAGATTGATGAGAAGAGAAAGGGGGCTCTCGTCCAGAGAGTGGATTGAATACAGAATTCTTCCAGGAACACCTTTTTATTTTTTAAGCTGTGCCCTGTGTGTTTTGTTCATGCCCTTTTGGTTGTGTGTGATCAGCTAGAGGATCTGTGTGATGGAGAATCACTTGACTAGTGTGCTTGGTGCACAAGAGCTCCTGGAACACTTAGCTGCACACATCAGCTTTAAAGTGGAGAATGTTTCAATGGGTTTCCAAGTCTTTATTTCCAAGTATAAATATACAACTGTGGTTTTTCTACTCACAAATTAAATCCAGTTCTCATTTATGTTGTGATACTCAAAAAAAACCCAAAGTCCTCTTGACATGAAAACCATTATTAAAAACAGTATAACATATGTTAATCCATTACTGTGTAGGCAGCTGTCTGCTTCCTCTTATGCTATTTTCTAACTTTATTGATCTTACATTATCATTCATCCTGTTATAGCATTTATTACAGCTTCAAAGAAAGATTTGACAAATCATGGCAGATCAGTGAATCTGTATGCCATGTAATTGCTAGTGTGATGCTGAAAAAGACATAAAGTAGTTTGGAGTTGATGTTAGATGTATTTCTTCTATTTGAAAATAATTGCATTTAAATCCCATAGGAACATGTAGATTTAGTTAAGATTTCTTTATTTATTTTTTTTTTTTAGTATTCTACACAAAATTTAGCTGTTTTGATGGTTAAAAAAAAAAAAATTTACTCAAAAAAAATCATGTCAAAGATTGTAGAACAGTATGAGAAAGCAGCTCTTCCTTTGGCTCAAGAGATCTGTGTAAGCTGTTTGTGCCCATGAGCATATAAACAGGATTCGGACTGGAGATTAAACTAACAATGGTGGGCAGTTTATTTCAGCATCAAGCCACTAGCACTTAACTGTTTATGGTTTTGGATTTCTGTGCAAAAGCAAAATTGTTCTTTGAGCCATTTTTCATTATTCTGCTGTAGGAATAATAAATATCCCCAAAATCTTTGTAAAAGTTGACTTTTGCTTTTGAATTGTGCTGTTTGTGCAAAGCTTCATACTTAAGAGAAAGATTAGTGCAGCACTAAAAAACTTAGCTAGTTGTGATTGTGTAAACTGACACCAGAAATGAAAGAGCTGGTCATCAAACCACAGCTGGTTCTGAGTTTGCATTTCAGTCTTAATTAAATATGAGGTAAGCTGCAGAAGTAGGATAGAGAAGTTGGCAACAGACTGAATTTTTTTGAAATGGTTAAGAACTTACAATTTTTTGAGATGTTTCTCTACTGCTAAATACTCATTCCGTCATTTTGGGGAACTCCTTGGTTTTTAATGGTGTGAGTACAAGCTACTACAGAGGGAGTACTGAGAGATTGTTTTCCCCCTTTTTTATGTAAAAGAAAAACCGACTAAATTTTTGTGCGGTCTTCTATCACATATGGCTAAAATTGGATAATAGACCCGGCAGCTGCAGGGGAGGCAGAATAAACAACATGAGCATTGTTTCCAAAGGTAATGAATCTAAAAACTTTTCAAAACCTGCTGCTCGCATTATTACTTAAATCAGGTGGGTTTCTTTTGGTGGCCCAGGTTTGTTAGTTGTCCTTATCAAAAACACTCTTAGCAGTCTTCAAGTTTAAATTCACTGTTGAGAATTCTGTGGCTGTGAACAGTGTTTACAGAGTTACACATTAAACTCTTTTTGTTAGTGTTTGCTTTTTGAAAGTAAATGCTTACTAATAGTACCTCGGTTTTAACTACTATTGTGCTTTTTTATGTATTGAAGATAAATACACAGCAATGTTTTATTTCTGCTGTGGCTGAAACTGGAAATCCTTTGGTTAATACTCACTGTGAATTCTGCTTGCGTGCTTACAAACAGTTGTTATCTGAAGCAACTCCAGGAAAAGTGCGCATTGTTCATGGAGATATCCTGACATACAAGATGGAGAATGCTTTTCCAAAGCACTTAAAAAAGAACTGGGAGGATGGTTAGTATTTGGATTTGGTTTATTTTTAAGGCTTCTTGTATCTTAAGTGTGGTGGTATAATTGGAGTTCACTGAGTGCAGGTGTTACTCTCTTCTGGTACATTTTGAAGGTGAGAAGAGAGAGATGAGCTTGTTTTCTTCCTTTCCAGAAGGAAACAGAATCCTAAGACAAAACAGTGAAACTGATGTGACATTCATCTTAGTCAACAGTGAGGAGCTTTGCAGTGATTAACCTTTCAATGTCTTGACTGTACAATAATGACTCTTGGAAAGTATAAAAGCAAATATTTTTTCTGTATTACTGTCATTTGAAAATCTGAAAGGCTGGTGGGTTTTAGAAAGATACTTGGCCATCTCTGATACATATGTAATACCACAAATATTCTAGAAACATCACGGCCTTAAAAGTGCATAGTAAGTGTGCCAGAAAAGCAGCCTGAATTAATATTATCATAGAATCAACCAGGTTGGAGAAGACCTTTAAGATCATCAAGTCCAACCATTAAATGCATGTTATTAAATGCTGTAGTGTCTTAAGAAACAGCACGTGCATTTGTTTTGCCCGATTCCCTTGCACTGCTGGGTAGACATAAGGATCCCTGCTAATGCAATGCCTGCTTTGTGTTTGTACAACACACATACACTGATAGAATCCATAATTGAAAGATACCTATCACTTCTTAATGGTTAAGTCTTGTACTTGCCCTAAACCCTTTTAGTTTCAGAGGAGATCTCTGTCCAGTTTGGTCTAGATGATTATTTTGGGGATTATGAAGAGTTCATGAGCTACAGTCTTGTAGTTTTGCTGTTACAGTTTTGCTGTTCTGGGGTAGCTCAGCTGAAATTTGCTGATGAGCTGAAAGTCAGCTGAAAGTTACTGGTATATTCAAATGTAAATGAGAACCAAACCTAACCACTTTTTTCCAAGTAATTACTGAGAATAGTAACACAGTTTTGTTAGTGTAAGACAGATGTAAATGGAAAGGCATAATTCTGGTGAGGCACAATAAAAATTGTTTTTGTGTTTTAAGTCTAAGTTGATACGTGCATATCTTTCTTTCTTACATGTTCTTTCATGCAAAATCTCATCCAAAACTCTTTGACAGTTGTTTTTCTTCCATCAAATGTTAACAGAGCCACCAGGTATACATATCATTGGGAATCTCCCCTTCAGTGTTTCAACTCCTCTAATCATCAAATGGCTTGAAAATGTTTCCAAAAAGGATGGGCCTTTTATTTATGGCAGGACACAGATGACATTGACTTTTCAGAAGGAAGTTGCAGAGGTAAGATACTAATGTTTTCCCAAAATTTTACAGATGCTAATTTGAACAAAAGTTTGCAGCCTCTTTAAAAGTACAAACCTAATCTTAGATGGCTTTAAAAAGAGCGGAAAGAGTTGGTTTGATTTTTATTTGATTTATTGATTTTTATTTCTGTGGCTGTAAATTATGAATTTTAATGTTGAGTTAATCATCTGCTCTGATTCTTTTACAGCGCATAATTTTTTTATTTTTTTATTTCCTTACAGAGAGACCTATTTCCTTGAGGTATTTAATCTGTTATTTTCTGAAGTATTGATTTCTTAAACATTAATAAATTCCACAGCACTCTTCTGTTTTTAACTGTCTTCTCTCTCGATCGTTCATGCACCATTTCATCAGTCTGTTCTTCCTTACCTTTTAATCCTCTCATGAAATACACTGATAGTTTTTTCCTTTGCTCTCTTAATTAAAAATATTTTCTTTTCAAAAGATAGCTTCCTTGAAATAAGGAAGAATGGAGGGTTTGTATTATTTCCAGTTGTGATTAAACACTTCACACACAGAAAATGTTCATCAAGACCATGGAAGCTGCCTTTTGCTTTTTTGAATGAGACTTGATAATCAGAATTATTAATGGATTGCTGCCAGTCTTGTGTGTGTAGAAAGGCATTACTGGAGTTCTGTCAGAGGAAGTCCAAGAGCAAATTGAGATTGTACTTTTTGTCAATAGTTAGATTCTCAAAACTAAACTAATCTGCTATGTAGTATCATTAATTCTAGATAAGTTGATACTCCTCAGTGCTTTCAGATTTTAACAGTATATTTCTGTTGCCATTGGATGAAATATATCATATTGCAAAGGCTGGAAGACTTTTTGCTTTGTATTTATAAAAGCAGTATGGCTTCTTACCAGCATCTCACTTGCTTAAGAAAAAAAAAAAAAAAAGGAAAAAGGAATTGCACATCAGTCTGAAAACTGAATTTCCATCTAATTAGTCCAGTGTTTGTAAATATCAGGGGTTTGGTGTGCAACCTAACATGTGTGGGTGATTTTAATTTTAATCTTTGAATGTAAAAATTCTAATAGTAAAATTTTGCTGGCCTTTGTTTGTGCATAAATTTGTAATAAGTATATATGCAAGTTGGATATCTGTAGTAATTTGGGGGGGGGTCACAGAAAACCATATTGTGCTGTCATTACTCTAGCCCTGCAGTCAACATTCAAGACAAATACTGATATTTCCAGTAGATGGCTCTAGAGAACACCAGGGACAAACATGAAATAAGCTGGATTTCTTAATTCAGCTCTGAGCTCATGTGGTTTCAGGTATTAAAAAAATCTAGGAACACTTTTCCAGAAGAACTTCATGTCCTATTAGATCATACCTTGTTGCAAAAAATGGACTATGACATAAACTGCAAAGTGGTAATGGGCAAGATGCAAAGTTTTGTGACAGTGAAAAAATTGGCTTAGCACTGAGTGAGAGCATAAGTGCACTCACTTTATATAGCTGTAACTAGCTGCATATGCTTCTTGTGACATGCAGATTATAGTGCTTCTTCACCCAGCATAGCTCATTGAGATCTTACATACCATGCACTCTTTTTAAGTTTCTTGTACTTAGAATGATGAGAAGTTAGAAACACCAGGAAACTTGAGTATGTTGTTCAAGGTCATGCAATGAATAGGTGTTCATTACTGAGTTTACATTCTGGGATCTCTTGATTCTTTTTTCTTACATCTATTTAAACTCTGAACTTCTACTGAAGACTGAGTTGTTCAAGGTTTCTGGTTTGTGTTTCCATCATTGATTTGACATCATGAAAAACTCTTTTGAGAGAAACTATTTTGGTTTATGATTAGGAGGAAGAACGGTAATCAAAATCTCTGTCTTTTTCTGGCCCTCTGGAGTTGCTTGGTAATTGCAGTTTGACATACACAAGCATATTCAGTACAAGGAAATAGAGAACAATGTCATGCATATAATAAGTTGCTACTGATATTTTGTGTCTGTGGTTTGATATTATTGAAAGGGAAATGTATGATACCCAGAAGTTTGATGTCCTCAGTCATATTTCTAAGCTTAGAGTGTAAATATCAAAGAAGTCTCAGTGCATATGCATAAACCCCGCAGAAGGGTAGGAAGCTGTCATGGAATGAAGCCATGTGCTTTATCATTAGGATAAATTGATGTTAACAGTAAGAAAATAAAGTATTATTTGTGGTCAAGCTCAGTTTTGCTAGTATAACAGTAGAAAATACTTTTGCCCTTGTTGAAGTGGTAGTTTCCTGCTCTTCTGTTTCCTTGTAGTGCAGGTATGCTGGCATGAGTTATGTCAGTACAGACCACTCTGTTCTGATATGATTTGATTAAATCGATTACAACTTGGTTGATGAGAGCCAGCAGTTGTTATATGCCAAGTTCTGAGACCTGTTAATGAGCGTAAGACCAGATATACACAGCAGTAAAAAGGGTACTTTTAAGTGTTGAACAGATTATTTTTGTCTCTCTGTAGTTTAAATTTGTAAATTGGTTAATTACTTTGTGGGTAAGAATTTTTACCTTGCCTCAGATTCCTCAGACCCAGCCCTCCATCACCTTAGTCTGCAGCCTAGGCCATGTACTTCGAGGCCCACTTCCGTTAAAATGAGGCATATTTTAGTTCAACTAGAAGATCATTGTAAGTCTCTAATTCTGAGTAAAACTGGGTAGGGAATAGTTTGCCTGAACTGCTCTCCCAAAATGATCTGCAAGCTGGGAGGTGGGGTACCTAGAAGACAGGCGTGTAGAACACTTAATCATTTTGTATCTAACGCTGCTATTTCGAATGCTAGGCAAAAGGTGCTAAAAAAGTGGAAAACAATTCAGCTCTTTGAGCAGTAAACAGAAGAAAAAATACTATTTGTTTTCATAACTGATACAAGTTGGATATAAATGCTTACTTTCTAAAATAAAATAGTTGTTTTGCAGAAAGTGGTGTGTACTAAAATGTATTTAGTATTCCTTTATATGGTCAGCTTTGATAGTCTTGTTCTTCAGGTAGGTTAATTACTGTGACAGATATTGCAGATTCTTTGATAATGGTTTTTTAATATGCATTTATGAAAAGCACAGTTGTATGGTATAGCTTACTGAAGAAAAACCAGTCGTTCCTGAAGTTAGTCAGTGGTTGATAGTAAACAGCATTAAGAGATGTCAGATACCACTGGATTGTATTAAGCTTCAGAATCTTTGTTGTGCTTCATGCCCTGCAAAGATTTTAATAGAATGTTTCCTAGTTAGCTGAACTTCAGTGTGTGTTCATATGCAGTTTCAGATGCTATCCCTATTTTAAACATAGGAACTAACTAAATTTTGAGAACTGGGAGAAAAAAAAAAACCTACAAAAATAGGATGTTACAGAAGTATGAGGACAAACTTTTTAGCAGGGCCTGTTACAACAGGACAAGGGGTAGTGGTTTTAAACTAGAAAAGGGTAAATTTAGACTACATAAGGAAGACATTTTTTACAATGCAAGTGGTGAAACACTGGAGCAGGTTGCCCAGATAGATACCCCATCCCTGGAAATGTTCAAGGTCAGGTTGGATGGGAGTGTGAGCAACCTGATCTAGTTGAGGATGACCCTGCTTTTTGCAAGGTGGCTGGACTAGATGACCGTTAAAGGTCCTTTCCAACCCAGACCCTTCTGTGATTCTGTTCTCATCATTTTTGTGTTCCTGGAGCAATGTCATACACAAGTATGTTCTTGCTGTTGTGGGTTGAAGTATTTTAAGATGTTACTGCCCAGAGGTGGATATTAAGTTACCCCTTCTGCAGCTGAGAAGTGGGAACTATCTGAGGCTCATTACATGGGTTCTGTGGGAAGACTGGCTTGTTTAAATTGGCATTGGAAGGACTAGAAGCCGTGTCATTAGGTCTGCTTCATTTCTATTTCAGAGGTGAAGAAGTGTGTAGACTTTGCAGGCTGTTTTGATTTTTGTTTTGGTTTTGTTTTGGTGGTGTTTTTTTTTCAGAGAATAATAACGGTGGATAGAGAGGGTTTTATTCTAGTAGGTTTCCTCTGAAACAGTGATGACAGTAGTTTTAAATGCTGATGTAGGCAAAAAGCACCCAGCTTTCAGAAAAGTCATTAAAAAGTGTTTTATTTGCTCTATGCTCATACCAAAACTGCCTTTCAGGAGAGTTTTTTTTTAAAAACAAAATAAAACTTCAGCAATAGGTTTAATTTTATTTTTCAGGGATATTTTTAATAAACATGGCAGCATTTCATGAGTACTCTTTTCATCTGAAGCTATGTAATGTACAGATATTGCCAGATATGCAAATTGGTTTTCATATTTCATTTTTTTTTATTAAGGTACTGCTAAATAAGAACAGGAATCTTGAAAATCCTGTTTCTGAATAGTTAGTGCGATGTCTTTTACCATTTGAGACTTGTCTTACTGGATGCTTTTTTTTGTTTCAACTTTGTTTATGCTAGCAGAGCACACAGAACATGTTTCTTGCCGGGTTATGAAAGTGTAGACGACTTCTGTCCAGGCTACTGTTTTGATAATCTTTATAAGAAATCTCTTGGGAAAATCAGAGGAATGCTAAAATGAGCATATTAAGTATTAAATGCTCTTACTGTTTGGTATGCAAATTTATGTAAAGTAGATCCAGCTTCCTTGCTTATATTGTAAGCATAGACCAGTCAATAATGTAGAAAATTTTGGTTTCTATCGGATTCTGAGTTTATGGAGCTTTATTTTATCTTGAAAGAGGAAAAAAAATAGTATTATTTGTTACAGAAACAGTGGAAGAAAAGGCTGTGAGAATGTGTCAGCTGATGTTATGCTTGTTTTGAATCCTGCAGTCAGAATAGTTTTAATTTTCTCTTGTGCTCACACAGAATTATTTGACATCATTAAGTTCTGCAGGAGTTCAAGGAGCATCTTTTCACATGCATTTGATTGCAGGATATGGGCTGTAAATTAGGATGGTATTTTAGTGAAGTGCTGCTATGCTGAAGGGAAAAAATCTAGATTAACTGGGCATAGACTTCGACACAAATTTTTAACAGCTGTTTGTTTTAGTTTGTTTTAGCCTTTGATTATACTGAAAATCAGTCTTTAATGTAACTCACCACATGTAAATCTGTGAAACTGAATTGACTATGTTTTGATTCTTCAATAGAGGCTTACAGCTAATCCAGGAGGTAAGCAACGTAGCAGGCTGTCCATCATGTCTCAGCATCTCTGCACTGTTGAAAACTGTTTCGTGATTCCAGGTGAAGCTTTTGTTCCAAAGCCAGAGGTAAATTTTGATTATTTCTTCTGGGGCTTTTTTGTTCATATGTTAGTCAAACAGTGTATCTGATTTTGAGTAAGGAACACAGGTGCTGTAGTTCCTCTCCATACTATGAAGTGATGTGATTTTCCTGTAAACAAAACATACTTGCTTCAATAAGGTGCTTTTTGGTTATTCAGAACTTGGCTTTGGCCTTCAAGCTTGTCTGCAAGATCAGAATACTTCTTTGGGTGCTTCTGAAAAACTGATCAGGATTTAATGATATGATACCTCGTTAGGATTGTAGCATCTTTGGAAAGCCTACAGTTTTACAGTTTGCATTTATAAACAGTTTGGGAATTATGCCTAGAAAAGTTGATGGGTCTTTTGAAAGACCCTGATAAATAAAAGCTTTTCATTTGTCATCTTTGTCAAAGATCTCTAATTTTACCATGTCTATAATCTTTACATTCCACCCTACTCATCTTTATCATATTTAACTCCCTCCTATTCACTATAGCACTTTGTCAGTTACATCCCACTGCCTATTTAAAAAAGTAATGATCTTTTCTCCCTTTGTTCTTGAGTAGAGAACAGTCTCTTTGCTGTCCTATTATCTGCTGGTTTTTATTAATAGCCAGTATGATTATAGGAGTCAAAAATTAATAAACTGTATTTTGGGCAAGAATGTACCTTATTTGTTTGTTTGTTTGCTATGTAAAAATGTGTGCCTGACACTTGAGTGGGGTCTGTTTTCCCTGAATGCATACGGAAATGTACTGTTCTGTTTCAGAAATGAACTTTCAGCTTCTGAAAGTTACTCTTAAATTGGTTAGTTCAGCTTATCAGTACATATCACTTCTCCCTTATTGCAGTCTATTTCCTGGTCTTTCTACCCTTCAGGCTTACCTCTTGACAATGTTTGCAAGATTATTCTCTCTCTGTTTATCATAGAATCATAGAATAGTTAGGGTTGGAAAGGACCTTAAGATCATCTAGTTCCAACCCCCCTTCCATGGGCAGGGACACCTCACACTAAATCTTGTCAACCAAGGCTTTGTCCAACCTGGCCTTGAACACCGCCAGGGATGGAGCATTCAGAGATGGAATTTCCCTAGGCAGCCCATTCCAGTGCCTCACCACTCTCACAGTAAAGAACTTCCTCCTTATAGCCGATCTAAACTTTCCCTTTTTAAGTTTTAACCTGTTACCCCTTGTCCTGTCACTACAGTCCCTAATGAAGAGGCCCTCCCCAGCATCCTATAGGCCCCCTTCAGATACTGGAAGGCTGCCATGAGGTCTCCACGCAGCCTTCTCTTCTCCAGGCTGAACAGCCCCAACTTCCTCAGCCTGTCTTCTTACGGGAGGTGCTCCAGTCCCCTCATCATCCTCGTGGCTTGTTCCAACAGTTCCATGTCCTTTTTATGTTGAGGACACCAGAACTGCACACAATACTCCAAGTGAGGTCTCACAAGAGCAGAGTAGAGGGGCAGGATCACCTCCTTCGACCTGCTGGTCATACTCCTTTTGATGCAGCCCAGGATACGGTTGGCTTTCTGGGATGCGAGCGCACACTCCCGGCTCATGTTCATTTTGTGATTGACCAACACCCCCAAGTCCTTCTCTGCAGGGCTGCTCTGAATCTCTTCTCTTCCCAGCCTGTAGCTGTGTCTGGGATTGCTCCAACCGAGGTGTAGGACCTTGCACTTTGCATGGTTAAAATTCATAAGGTTGGCATCAGCCCACCTTACAAGCGTGTCAAGGTCCCTCTGGATGGCCCCTCTGGATTTATCACAATAAATTTTAAGGCCTCTATCTGGGCATATTCTGATGATAATTTAAAGTTTTGTTACTATTTTTTGAGCAAGTAATTGATCAAGTATGTTCTGTTATTAATCATGACAGCAGTCTGCTGTGAAGAAAAATGACCACGTTTAAGACATTTTTTGCTTTACATTTTTAGATTGGTGGTGGGGATTTTTTCCTGTCTCCTAGGTGAATGAAACATGAATTCAGTATATCATACCCCTTTTAAATATGTGAAAAAATCTCCAGTAAGGCCAAAATTCCACTTTTATGGTGGTTTCTCAGTTGTGGATGCAGTGTAAGGGCACAGTAGAGCTAGTGTAGACAAAAGTCGTGCAGACTGTGCCTCAGAATTAGGAAGCTGTACCTGATATTCCCGTTTTCCTGTGCTGAAAAGACCACAATTGGTTCAGGGATAGGTAACTTATAGAATTGTGACAAATGTTTAATATAAGCAAAATCCTACAGTCAGCTGATGCTCTGTTGAATAAAAAAGTCAGTACCACTAAAGGCAAGCATATCTTTATTTGATATATTTCTTTGACTTAATACCATTTGTGTTGCAAAAGCAGAAAGTACAAATTTTTCAGACAGACCTAGCACCTGTTTTGAATATATTTTATTTCCTTCAAACTTCTGTTTTACGTGGATCTTCTGCTTTGTCCCTGTTCTTTTAGCCATATACTGACATGTGGGTTTAGATACTTGCATTCTGATAAAATCTTTTGTTTTCATGGAAAGCTCTTCAGCATATTTTGAACAAAATGGCTCAGCATTTGATTTTTGTTTCATAGGTATACGAAGAAGTTTAAGTACTTCTGTATAAAATTCACTGCTTTTGTAATCAGTGAATATTTCATTTTGCTTATAGTTTACAATTCTTCCATTTCACTTATGCCCTCCTGTAAAAATGCTGTTGGTTCTTATTTTACAGTGTTAATTTTAATTCACATACATAGCAATGATCACACATCAGTGTCATGTCAACCCCCTTACAACAGGTGGAGATGCATGTTTTTGGGAATGAGTTGTTTAACTTATTTGCTCACTGAATGAATAGTACTTCAACAATACTATGAATGTTGAGATGCGAAAGGATTTTGGTTTATGGAGTGTAATGGTACTGCGCAGCACTTTCTAAGCAAAAGAAAATTTGGCTTTTTGGTCAGTTAAGTCTCTGTAGTGCTGAATAACTAGTGATACTAGAATTAGGATTAGTACAAAACAAGCTCCTTGATGAATGCATAGGAAACTCAAAGCAATTGTGTAATGTTAGTAACACAAGCAAGGTGTAATTCCATTCTGTGTGTATTAGAATAAAGCGTCTTTACACATTAGATGCATAAAACATTCCACTTTCTCAAATGCGACAACAGAAGATCTTTTTCCATCAAACTATACATATGTTAAGGCCCCTTTTTACTGTTTTAGTGAATTTCAAGCTAATAATATGGGAAATGAAAGTTGTATATAAATAAGTAGCAGTTGGTCATGTTAAATGACTTGCCCAGCATTATCATATTCCTAAATTTAAAGGCCTTTATTATATCCCTTTTATTCTCTTACCTGTGCTAGCAAATTCACATCAATTTAATTCTCATTTAGGGAAGCATTTAGATAGACCATACTCTGCCAGAGATCAGTACAAAACAAAATCTGTGTGTTGGAAGAAAAGGTTAAAGGATCCAAGATTATTAATCAAAGTCAGGGAGTTACTTGTCTCCTTATCACCACTGTATATTAAATTTTACAGTAACAAAATATGTGGGCCTGAAACAGAGCCTAAAGTGATCATTAAAAAGACTTACAAAGTTCTTGTAGAAGGCCAGAAACATAGAAGACAATAAATGGTAGCTATATTATTTGGGCTGTTAAAAGCTACTTTGAGGAAGTAAAAGCCAGAATGTTCCCAGATTTTTCTTGAACATAGATTATTTAGTTTGTATCCTGTATGTTACAGTTTGCAGGTGTTTTCATAATCGTGGTTACATTTCTGTGGTTGTATTGCTCCTCAAATCTAATGTTCATTGTGTAGTGATAGATTAGTAGCTATTGGTGAATGTTGAGTAGACATTTCTTTAAGAATAATAAATGAAACCCACAGCAGGTGGCAATTTGGGGCAGGAGAGCCATTTTTGGCAAAATCTGAATGGTACTGCTGATTCTTCAGCCTGATATGTAGCATATACAATGCAGCTGAGGTTTGGGGCTTACGGGGGTTTGGTGGGGGTTCTGTTTTGAGGCTTTTGTGTGTGGTTTTTTGTTTTGTATTTTAAGAAATCTAGTTACTGAGGCAATTTAGAGCTGAAAATGAAAGGCAGATTGGTCTGCTATTTAAAAAACATTCAGTTTGGCTCCTTGGACAAAGAGTGGTTGAGGGTTTTTTTTCCTTGCACCATAATTAAAGATAAAATTTAAAATACACTATAAAATGTTGTATGTTATTGATAGCCTGATTTGCTAAATAGAATGCAGTTAGTTTTTAAGCATCTTTGCTGTAAGAAGTTATCAGTATATTAACTGTACTGTCAGTTATGTTTTAAAATAGTTCCTGTTCAGTAAATGTTACTTGGAAAGTCACAGAGAATGGTTTGAAAAATCAGCAGAAAAGTACTCTTGTAGCAGACTTAAGCATTATTTCTTAATTTTATTCTTTTTGTGGATGCCGCTATAAATTAAATACTTTGCTTAAACATAAGCTCAGATGTAAGTGCTATGTTATACATTCTTTGAAATAATCATACTACACTTAGCACAAAAAATGGCATCAATGGATAGAAATAACTGTATTTACACATAGTCCTTCAGGTTGTAGCCTGTGTTGCTCTCCTGCTCTGTAGATGGGAAATGGTGCTGCTTTGGAGAGTAAATCCATGCTCCTTGCTGCTTTTTAAAACATGAAGTGCAGAAGATAACACCTGCGGTAAGCAGAAACCCTGCTGAAATAAATCCTGTGTAAACTGCTCCTCCTGGTTCATGTTTACTGCTCTCTGGAACGGTCTGGTCCAGAAAATTTGAAATAATTTCTTTTGTATACCAGGATGTTGGTACTAATCCAAAAATTCCTGCAAGAATGAAGCAGACTCCTCCAGCAAAACAAGCGTGACTTTTGCTGTCAGTGTCCCCTCCCAACTTTGTACACTTCATTCCAACTGTAGTGATGCAGATCCCAAAGGCCGATAAGATACAAGACAGTACCATGGTTGTCCGTGCAGCTTGGA